GGGGGGGCTGGCTGGGGCGGGGGGGGGGGAGGGAGTGCATGGAATTGGAGGAAGGGGGTACAATGGAAGGGCAGGGTGGATGCGGGGGTACGGGGAACACTGAGTGGAGCCCGGGAGCAGACCCCGAGAGCTCCGAGGGGCCGAGGTGCAAGTGTGGGGTGGGGAGGAGGCACCTCGCGCTTGGAGCGCACCAGCAGTCGGAGGCAGTTGTTCTGTGTCATTCAGTCCACCTCCGATTCCTGCTCGGGATGCCGATTTGTATTAATTGATTCTTTTTTTTTTTACAACTGAGGTCGTGATGGTTTGAGCTGGGATTGGGACTAATTCGCCGAGATTTCTTAACTCATCGTGGTAGTGCCAGAACTCTGAACTCTGTGTTTTACAACCTGGCGTCCTTGGTGGCTAGAATTTTTGTTCTGGAAGCAACTCGAGGGGGACAGATGGGTTTATCGGGGTGATTTTGACGAACGGGGAGGGTTCGTGAACAATGGGGAAAAAAGGATATGGGATGTTATTCTGTTCTTGAAAGCATGTAACTTCAGTTAAAGGTAGACCCTGTTTACTAATTCAGATGTGGAAACCTCGATGGGTCTGTGTGTAACGTAAGAAAGTGTATGTGAGGTCAGTACATAACTAGAAATATGTAAATAGTGCCTGATTTAATTTGTCTCCAGATGCTCCGGTAGTAGTAACTTTCTCCTTCAGATTGATTCCAGGTGACCCTCCTGTATACCTTGCCTGCAGGCTGGTTTCAATTTCCATGTTTTCATTCTCTCTCTCTCTCGAATTCCTTTTTTGGCAGTGTGTTACAAAGACAGTGAATTTAAAGGTATTTAATGTGGCCAAAGCAAATACTTAGATCCTTAAGTGACCTTTTTAAAGGTTTGAAATGCTTTAATTGGAGCCATTTTGACTTAAAGTTTCAGGTGCCCAGTAGTTTTGGCAAGGAAAGAGTTGATTTTAAATGTCTTAACATAGAGCATCCTATTGTTGATATTTAGAGTGTTATTCACACTGCAAGCATTTGCAGTGATAGCTTGAGAGGGGATACAAGGCGACATTTTTTGTTGTTTTTAGGTTCCTTAATTTAAAAAAAATGTATAATTCACATTTTCAATTTGCTCACCTTCAGTTTCTTTTAAGGTACTAAAAATATTCTAAAATATTTGAATTTAGAGTGCACCTGTTTCCTGATACTGCATATCATGTTAATGGGCATTAACGGAAATCTATACCTATTAGGATGAAAGCACACACAATTTTAGAACTAGAAGTGCAGAAATGAACTTTTTTTTTTCTGATGAAACAAAATATATTTAATAATCCTTTAAAATGTGCCTGTTGCCTCAGAGCTCAGTTTGGAAAGGGATTTTATTCTGTATATTTGCTGTGGGTGCTTTGATGTCATGATTTATAAATATACCTTTTTATTAGACCCTTGACTGAAAGGATAATTTGTTCAATTTATATTTCATCATAACCTTTACATCTGACTTTAGGAAACTGGCAGTATAGTGATAATCTATTTTAACATATGGGAAATATACCTCTGAGGAGTTGCCATTGCCAACATCTGTAGCTTGGTGGTTCTGAAAGTAAAATTTGCTGTTTTAGTTAGTCTAAACTTCCACAAATGCTATTCCTTGTTTGATATTTTTATGCTTTGTTTCTACTGTTTTCCAGGATTTATTTATTGATACAGTATAACAACCCCAAATTGGAATGTGGAAGTTTCCTTGTGGGTGTTTTTATGTATTAGGAGTACTCTCCAGTAGAACTTTCTGCACTGATTGATCTTTATTTGCTTTACCTATTATGGTAGCCAATAGCCACTTGTGGATGTTGAACACTAGAAACAATTTATAATTTAGTTTAACTATTAGGTGAGGCTGAGACTTTATTTATTTATTTGTTTATTTATTTATTTTAATCCTCATCTGAGGTCATGGTTAGAGAGAAGAAAGGAGAGAGAGAAACATCAACTGGTAGCCTTCGGTACATGCCCTGACCAGGGATTGAACCCTCAACCTAGGCATGTGCCCCAACCAGGAATCAAACCTGCAACCCTTTGGAGCACAGGATAGCACTCCAATCAACTGAGCCACTCGGCCAGGGCTGAGAACCGAATTTATAATTTAAGTAAAACTAAAATTTGAGTCTGACCAGTGTGGCTTAGTGGTTGAGTGTTGACTATGAACCAGGAGGTCACAGTTCGATTCCCAGTCAGGGCACATGCTTGGGTTGTGGGCTCGATCTCCAGGAGGGGGTATGCAGGAGACAATCGATCAGTGATTCTCATCATTGATGCTTCTCTCTCTCTCCCTCTCCCTTCTTCTCTGAAAATTATTAAAAATGTATTTAAAAACAACACTAAAATTTGAATGGTCATAAGTAGCTAGTGGCTGCTGTATTGGACAGCACAATATTAAGGGTTATTGCACCCATTGATTAGGAATTATCACATCCATTAACCATGGAAACCCAGGAACCCAAGGGTAAAGAACTATCTTGTAAGGAGGTTGAAATTCTCTTTGTACATTTTTAAGATAAAGTCTTTTTCATTTTTGCCACACATATCTTCTGTCATATATCAGTTTTCATATAACATTACAAAAGAATAATGAAGATAGCAACTTCTCTGGTCTTTTTAAGAGATGTAAGATTCTGTTTCTTTTGTTGAAAAGCAGCAAAAATGGATGTTAGGAAAGTTTATATTTAAAAATTTTACTTTGTTATTTTGACACATAAGTTAACTTTTTGAAAATTTCAAACATATACAAAGAAAACACAAATAGTATAACAACCTTTTTTGTGCCCAGGCTTATTTCATCAATACCTCTACTCCTCCATTTCACTCCGTGTTTTCTATTTTAAAGTTTTTCTAAGGTAAAATTTACACATATTGAAATGCACAAATCTTTTTTAAAAATATATTTGATTTCAGAGAGGAAGGGAAAGGGAGAGATAGAAACATCAATGATGAGAGAGAATCATTGATTGGCTGCCTCCTGCACGCACCCCAATGGGGATCGAACCCGCAACATGGGTAAGTTCTCCAGACTGAAATTGAACCTGGAATCGAACTGTGATCTCCTGGTTCATAGGTTGACACTCAATCACTGAGCCATGCTATTCGGGCGAAATGCACAAATCCTAAATGTACACTTTTAAAATAATAGCTTTAGTTAGATGTATTAGCACATACCATGTTTATATGTACACTAGAGGCCCAGGGCACGAATTCATGCGCTGGTGGGGTCCCTCAGCCTGGCCTGCGCCCTCTGCAATCCGGGACCCCTCGGGGGATGTCAGGCTGCCGGTTTCGGCCTGATCCTCGCAGGCTGCTGGAAGCACTGCTGTGGAGGCGGGAGAGGCTCACAGCGGTGCTGGCCAGCCATGAGCCCGGCCTCTGGTACCCAACGGTCAGCTGAGCGGTGCAGCGCTCCCACTGTGGGAGCACACTGACTACCAGGGGGCAGCTCCTGCATTGAGCATCTGCCCCTGGTGGTCAGTGTGCATTATAACTACTGGCTGGTCATCTGGTCGCTTAGGCTTTTATATATATAGACTAGAGGCCCAGTGCACGACATTCGTGCACTGGGGGTTGTGGGGGTCCCTCAGCCCGACCTGCCACCCTCTCCAATCTGAGAGCCCTCAGGGGAGCCCTCTCCAATCCGGGAGTTTGTCTGTCTTTACAATCATATGAGCGAATTGTCTGAGACCCCAACTCAGTTTGGTTTGTTGCTCACAGAATAATAGAGGCATATTTTTTTCTTTGCTTCATTGGTGGAGATTTCCTGGAAGTTTAGGATATCTTCCCTTTAATTTTTCCTAGAAACTCTGATTTTACTTATGTCTCTCACCTTTGCTTTCCCTCCATCCCCTTTTTTTTCTGGTACCTTTCTAAAGGCATAAGCTTTCACTTATAAAAATATATAGATGCGTATATGTATTTATAAACTACATAGATTCCTAGTTGCTTGTGAGGATTCTCTCCTGCGAATAGAAATGGCCTAGAGCAGGGGTGGGCAACCTTTTTGTGAGTGCGTGCCAAAACCAGCAAAATCTCTGACTCAAAATTCTTCTGCGTGCCAACCCTAAGTTTTTGAGAACATGTTATACCTACTTGATATCTCTTAAGGTGTATGTATGTGAAGAACCTTGAAGAAATAATAAAATTCATTCGAGCGACAAAAACACAGTATATGATGATGAAAAATACATTTATTTTTTAATGTATACATGTACACTGATAGTCCGACAGAAAACTTTATGACTCCGTTTGATATTATCAGTGGGACTTTTGCTGCTGCATCACTGATGACAGAGATTTTACATCAGGTTTATATTTCGTGACCTTCAGAGATATGCACGAGCTACTACTTTCATCCGTCAGGCTACTCTTATTAGGAGACTTAACAAAATTCATCACTGAGAACAAAGATTCACAAGCATATGTGGATGAAACCAAAACACTGGTCGGATCTAGGAAGGCAGGGAGAGTTAAGGCAGAGGCATAGAAATTGCTCTTCCCCTCTCTCGTCAATCCAT